TCTGCTCGTTTGACAACTTTTCGCATAAAAAAAAAAAAAAAAAAAAAAAATACAGGTATAATAGTCTTATTCTAGCCTACGTGAGTATCAACAGTATTAACTCCACACATTGGCGTCGTCGAGATATTCCGCAATAGTTTAATATGCTTTAACCATAAGTTGACTTTTAATTTTACATTTAAATTGGTCAAGCGGCAGACTTAATATCGACTGTGGGATCTTATTATACATGCGCACACTTTGCCCTATGAACGATCTATTTACTTTTTGTTGACGAAACAATGGCGTAGTAAGTTTGTCCTTATTTCTAGTGTTAATTTTATGTCTGTCACTATTCTTTAGGTGTAATTAAGATTATGGCGTATATACAAAATATTATAATAAATGTATTGAGAAGAAACAGTGAGTATATTAACCTCTTTAACAAGATCTCTGAGTTAATTCCGGGCTCCGATATTGTAGATTGCTCGGACAGCTCTTTTTTGAAGAATAAATATAGAATTTATATCTGATTCTGCAACAAAATGTCGTACGACAAGATGCTGTGAAAATAACTGAAGTAAACAAGTCTGGCAGTGTCGATGTCTGTTAGCTGTCTAACCCTTCTAATCGCAAAAACAGCGGAGCTTAGCCTATTCGCAAGAGATTATACATGGGGACTCCAGTGGAGCTTTGAATCTACTGTAATTCCCAGAATTATTCTTTACGTACACACATGTATGTCCAAGGGTGGACTTAATTCCATCAGCATTATCCCCCAGTCCATGTTGGGGTAGTCCAGAAAAGTTTAGGTTGGCTAGGTGCAAGTTTACCTTGCGACTCGTGCGGAAGACTTGCGACTAGTTCATCCGAGATAAGAAGTATTAAAGAAGAAAATAAATCTCTCAAGGACAGCTTAAGCGAACAATCCATGAGAATTAAGGCGTTAGAAGAAGAGAGTCTTAGGCAGCAGCAGTGGAATAGGATGCAGAATATCGAAATTAGAGGTATTCCTGAAAACAAGACCGAAGACACTGTAAGCATTATGTTGAAATTGTCGCAGCATATTGGTGTATCTATCCAGCAGACTGATGTTGAGTTTGTGCATCGCGTACAACCACGGCGTGCTGTCAGTTCGAAACAAGCACGTCCTATTATCGTACGTTTGAAACAACGTGCTATCAAGGATAAGATATTGGCAGCGTCACGCAAGCATCGGACTATAAATGCTACGGACTTGGGAATGGGGGACGAGACAAATCGTATATTTATTAACGAACATCTTACGAAGGAAAACAAACTATTATTGAATACGTGTAAACAGAGAGCAAGAGAGGCGAATTATAAATTTGTATGGACAAAAAACTGTCGTATCTATGTCCGAAAAAACGAAACGTCACCCCCCATACCCATATCCTCCTCAGCAGATTTATCCAGGATCGTTTAAAATATTTAAAATATTCTATTTCCATTTCATTATTTCATACTTTAATACCTAATATAACTTTCTCCGCTAATCCTATTAAAACCTCAGTATTACACAGCATACATTACACTTTTAGCATACCACATTACACATCAATACACAAACACGTTACCATGATAGACTTTCCAAATTTATGCTACCTATACGTACTTTATAAATACGAGTTATAACGCACCTCCAGCCAAGCTTTTACAACCCACAGTAATTTTATTTTTAGGCAACACGTATGCATAATTATTTCTTGTATTTTATTGTTAGTCTTTTGTTATATAGCGTGTATTATTTATTTTATAAATATTGCGTATCTGTCTGGACATAGTAACATAGTTAATAATGGATAAAAACGGAAATAAGAAATGATCAATTTTATATCAAAACACTAGAGGTCTACGGACAAAGACAAACACATTTTATAATAATTTATTATTGTCAGGAATAGATATTGTTATAGTTACGGAGACTTGGCTTTGTGAGGGTATATTGGACGCTGAAATTAGTGATGCCAACTACCGAGTCTTTCGTCGAGACAGAGGATCACTGGGAGGTGGTGTTATGATATTATGTAAGTCAGAATTGCAGGCATGCGCAGGACCAGAGATAAATTATAATAGTCTTGAATGTACTTGGGTAACCATCCCATTAAAAAATTTTGGTTCTCCGTATGACATACATATAGCTGTCGTATATATTCCTCCTAACCACCAAATACCATCGAGAATAAAGGACTTCATTGATGTTCTTTCTGACATTCGTGATAAAAATCCTAAAGATTACTTAGTTGTTGCCGGCGATTTTAATCTTCCATGTATCGACTGGAAACTAGATGACCCTGTGATAGTCAGAAAGGGATCTGTTGAAATTCAGACAGCAGCTTCTGATCTGCTATCCTACTGTTCTTTTATAGGCCTTACTCAACATAACACCTTATTAAATAGCAGTAACAACACGCTTGACTTGGTATTTTCCAATTTTCCACTTAAGGTAATAAAATCTAATGTTGTACTTGTTATAGAAGACACATACCATCCAGCTCTCTACATGTCTGCTGCAGATATTGTTGTATCTCGTATAAAGCCTTGTTTAAGATACAAATATCAATACACGCGGGCAGATTACAACAGTTTAAACGAAGAGTTTATAAATTCAGACTGGTCTTTTATTGCACGAGAAAAAGATTTGGATTATGTTATGCAGAAATTTTATCAGATTATTAAAAAAATTATCGATAAATATGTCCCTAAAGTCCATTGTGGCGGTAGAAACTCGTATCCCGTTTGGTATAGTAAAGCCTTAATTAACGTAATTAAAGAAAAGAACAAAATACATACCAACTGGAAAAAATTCAAAAATCCGGTTGATTATGCTGACTTTTCAGAACTGAGAAAAAGGCAGAAGAAACTTCAGGAAAATTGTTATAAATTATACATAGAACATACTCAAAAAAAATTAAAGCTAACCCAAAAATTTCTGGAGTTACGTCAAATCAAAGCGTAAAAATAACTTAGATTATCCCCAACAAATGACATATGGTGATATAAAATTAAATAACCCCTTGGATATTTGTTGTTCATTTAATAATTTTTTTCAGAGAAACTTTAGTCAACCTAGTTATAATTATAATTCATTTACGCAAGGTGACACCTTAAATTGCAATACAATTCAAAATATTAATGTCAGCAAAGAGTTAGTTCATAAGGTAATTAGTAAGCTTGATATAACAAAGGGAGCTGGTAATGATAATTTGCCCCCTATATTTTTCGTAAAATGCGTTAAATGATTGTCTGCGCCAATAACACTGCTATTTAATAGGTGCATTCACGATGGGTATTTTCCAAGAGCTTGGAAAGAGGCTCATATTGTTCCCGTACATAAGAAAGGACTTAAAAACTGTTATAGAGAATTACCGGCCGATATCGATACTTAATGTTCTGAGCAAAGTGTTGGAGAGAATTGTTCATATTCACATCTATCCTATTATCTCGCCTTCGATACCAACAGAACAGCATGGTTTTATAAAGGGACGTTCCACAGCAACTAACCTGGGTACCTTCATTGACTTCGTCACCACAAACATTGATGGAGGTTCGCAGGTGGATGTGATCTACACTGACTACGAAAAGGCTTTTGATCGAGTGGATGATAACATACTATTACGTAAGCTTTACGAACTTGGTATTCGGGGCGATCTACTAAGGTGGATGAAATCATACCTATGGAAAAATTATGTGGGGTGCAATTCGGTCCTAAACGTCTCAAGCAGTGGTTTTAGGGGGGTTTCGTTCTAATTTTGTGGAAATATCGTCAGGCGTCCCCCAAGGCTCCATTTTGGGCCCTCTCTTATATGCTTGCTATCTGTACGACGTGGGTAAGTGTTTCCATCATGCTAAATTCCTTATGTACGCTGATGACACGAAAATTTTTATGAAAATCGTAAATTACTCAGACTGCGAAAAGTTACAAGTTGATCTTGAGCGGCTCAATACTTACTATAAAGATAACCGTATTGATGTTAATGTTAATAAGTGTCACTGTGTGTCTTTTACTAGGAAAAAGCAACCTTTAAACTTTGACTACCAAATAAACTTTTTTAATCTTCGTAAAGAAACTATTGTTAAAGATCTTGGTGTCCTATGGACAATAAATTAGCATTTACCTACCACATAGATGCCATAGTAAATTCAGCCTACAAAAACCTAGGTTTTATTTTACGTGTTAGTAGACCTTTTTCTAGTATTAATTGCATAAAATTACTCTACGTTTCTTACGTACGAAGCACACTAGAATACTGTAGCATCGCCTGGAACCCACACTACATAACACATAAAAATAATTTGGAGAAGATTCAGCATAAGTTTATAAGGCACCTGAACTACAGAAGTCACAGAGTCTCCAGTGATTATGAAGTGTCATGCAAGTATTATAAACTCGCAAGCCTTGAGAGCCGGCGTACGCTGTTGGACATGGCTTTCTTGCAGGGACTGGTGTACGGGAAATATTGACTGCCAATATTTAGCTACAAAAGTTCTCCGATTGTCTACTCCAAAAGTTAGAACCAGACATACACTCTTATTTGCTGTATCCAAGTCATCGACTCGCTATGCACAAAACTCATTAGTGAATCGCTTGCAGTGTCTTCAATAAAAAATTTTACAACCTAGATATATTCAACACAAATAAAGATAAATTCAAAAGTGGGGTATTAAAAGTATTGGAGGAGGAAATGGCATCTTAACCACACACACACACACACACACACACACACACACACACACTCTGACACACGCGCGCGCGCACACACATGCACACGCACACAAACGCACAAGTACGCACGTAAAAAAAAATCCATAATAATGCCTAAGTATCAAAAGTTTTCATGTTTTCTACTGTCGTAATTTAAATTATTTAGCAGAATAATGTAAGCACAGTAATGTAAATCCAAATTGGCTTTAAGGTTTAGTAATAAGATTTAGATATATTTTAAAAAAAGTGCTGTGGATTTTGTTACAACAATAAAATAAAAAATAAAAAGGTGGCGATGGTGGCGTGGTCCGCGCTGGCGCTGTTCCGGCGCGTGCAGAGCTTCGCCGGGAAGGTGCGCGGCGAGTGCGAGCGGCGCGCGCCCTCCCACGCCGCCCTGGCGCTCGCCCACGAGTGGGACGACATCTTCGCGCCGGACGCCAACGCGAGGCTGCTGCGCATCATCCGCACCGTCATCGGTGAGCCCCCCTTTCTTTGTATCGGGGTGAAATCTTCGAAAGATACCTTGTCGCCTTACATGACAGGTTATGTGGGGTTCGTACCCACTAAAACCCCACCCCCAACGGTGGCCACCTTCTGTACATTTGGTGGGACTTCGGTATCTCCCATGAAACGCACCGGTGTCCCTCGGTACTACGCGTGAGCACGCCCTATTCTATGACTACGGGGCTGGTGATCGGTGGGCCCTAGGGGTCGCTCGGTACTTTTACCAAAGTAAGCTCTATGCAAGCGTCACGCCCCTCACGCAAGACGGGCGCGACGTACAGATTTATGAAATACGTCTGGTGATTTCAACAAGCCAAACGGCACGTCTGCAACGCGAATGATCTGAATTCAGCGTCGTGCGTACTTTCTCGTATTTTTTTTTTAAATAAAAAGTTTTATAGTTGACATAGTTTGAGAGTGAGATATAGACGGATCGCGATATT